CACGTATTATATGAGATTTAGCGTTTTGTAAGATGGGTTTAAATGTCAAAGTATCGTATTAAACTGAATAATCAGAACAAAAAGGTTCAGGTTGGTCGGAAATGCATTTAAAATGTACTAGGCAGAGAGGATACAGTAATAACGTTGTTCATAACATTTTCCGGTGGCCGGAAGATAGGGTTTCACGCACGCATGCTGTACTTATTCGTCCGTGTGACTCATGACAAAAGGTCGTCGAACCCGTTTTGTGCATAAGAACCTGCGTGCTGTTTCAATCGAAACAAATGGAAAAATTACAATCGATAAAGATAGAAATCTCTCGATATTATATGACTCGGTAATCGTTACAATATATCTTTATAATTGGAAATCATAGCGATTAATTTTCTTTCCTGCGATTCTATCGTTTGCTAAGCCTAGCTATTTTTTTTTTCTCTCCCTTGAATTTGTTGCTTTAAAGGAAATTGTATTTTATTGTATTTGTGTAATTTTTAAATTTAATCGACGACGAATGAAATTTTATTAAAAAAAGAAATATCGTAGATATCGTAGATATAATTTGTGCATTTTGTCATAATTTAATTCGATCGATGACTGTCAATTTATTGTTGTTTGCGGTGTAAGTACGCAATTTTATATACATTATAATTATTTATTTATTTAAATAATCATAATTGAGAGATTAGATGCAAATATTTTTGAACAAATTATATTGTACAAAGAAAAAAAATTCATGAAAGAAAATATAAATAACGTAAATATAAAATTAATTTATGTTTCAAGAACATTCATTGATTTCTCTTCATTGATTATTTTATTTTTATCTATTTTTTTTTATAGCTGTTGAGTTCAAATATTATTTATATTTTTTCTATAAAGAAAAGGTAAATTAAATATCAATTATTTTTGTAATGTAATTAGTAATTAATAAAATTGATATTAAACACAACAAATTAATTAACTGTTCCTTTATGATCCAAGTATCAAATGGCTATAATATTGTTACAACATCTGTAATACTCGTTACGTAATGATTAGAAAGCGAATCGACGACACGGTTCGTTATAATGCCTTGGATTCTGATATTATTTCAATTTAACAGATTGATTTTTTTTAATCGAAATTTCTTATAACGTGTTTCTTGCATTATATACAATTGCGATTACTGAACAGATAGAGAAACTCACTTTATTTCTAGATAATATACTTTCATACAATATTTCTTATTCTTAATTCCTTTCCTTCCTTCGTGAACAAGTATATTAAAATTTATTTCAATCTGAATTGTGTATGATTATTTTTTTCATTGTTTTAGGCTCTCAAAAAAACCTGAAAAAATTCTGCATTTTTCTGCTTTATTCCAACGTATTAAAATCGAATGTCTAAAAGATTCATCAGAAAAAAATAAAAATTTCCTCTTTCAAAAATAAAATTTTTGGTTCAGACACAAACTAGATCTAACTTTACTGTTTTAGACTCTTGAAAACCTCTTCTTCCTTATATAGTCGTCAACTCGAACGTTTTAAAAGGTTTATCAGCAAAAATAAGAACATTCCTTCAAAGGGATTTAAGAAGATAATACAAGAAACTCAACAAGAACCAATAGAAAGAGTCCATAGAAAGTTAAGGGGCGTAATGAACTTATAAATAATAGCTTTATACTTTTCTGTTTCTGAATTCTCGATTACAGATAATTGTCTAAGTCTTAACAAGATCGTATATAATGGATTCTAAATGGAATTGTTCATTCTTACGGATGTTTGCTATGTATTCAATTAGAACGATGAACGATATGAAACACATAAGAAAAATTTTTTAGCATCGATAAACCGCAAAGTCATTCTACATGTGCGCACAAGTAGTCGGGCAAGATTTGGTAAGGAGATTTAGACTTTTGAACTCAGACGTCTTACGTAGTATTCCTTAATCCTTTGATCTTTTTTAATCTTTTTGACAAAATTGACTATCTAAAATTAGAGAATTATTGTCAAAACTTGATATTTATATTATAGATAAATCCATTAAATTGGAAGGAAAGATAATTGTGGTAAATATAAAGATAATTAGAATAAATGATTCATTTAATGAACGTGTAGTGACGACTTGAATACTTTTTAATATTTTTTAACTTTTTATATCGATTATTCTTTTCTCTGGACAAATAATTGAAAAAATATATGAAATTTAAATCAAAGCTTTTGTTTGTTTTTTAATCAAACAAAATTTTGATCGCATTTATTAAATATTGTGAACTTTCGATGATAAACTGTTATTTCACTTGTTTGTTTTTAATTTTTCATGATATAAAAATTTAATATTTTTAGTAATTTTTATGCTTCAATAAAATTTTATATAAAATTTCATTGTTTTTTATTACTTTCTATAACAAAAGTGGACAAACCACATTGCTTCACAATATATTCTTTTTAGGAAATATTTTTCATATTAAAAATAAAATTTATTGCAATAACTTAAATAGATAAATATTTAAATTTTATCTTAAAAGTATAGTAATTTAAGTAATGATTTAATTTAAATACTTTGACATTTCTTTTCCAATTTTTAAATTTTTAAATTGATCGATGGTAATTGGCCTTTTATTTGGAATAAAGAATTTTTTTCCTACTTTCTTTCCTATTATAATGTGCGCCTTATTACCAAGACCTTCCATCATATTCCAATAGATAATTTTATTTGTTCTTTATTAACTTTGAAAGAAGTGAAAGATTTTTTTTTTTATGCTCTGGAGGAACGTGATAGAGAAAAAATTCAACTTTTCATTTTTTCTTTTCATTTTTTTAAATAAATGACGAATTGTAAAAAGTGAAGACACGTTTATTTCATTGTTAAAAAGTAATTATGTATTCATGGAAGTTTTTACAACGTCGAAAGTTTACTTACCGTGCAAGGGAATCGAAGAAGTCACACTTACTTCGAGAAAAGCAAACCCATGCCATAGTGGCCGGTTGCACTGGTTAGAAACCGGTTTTACAGGCAAGTTTTGTAATGAGATTCCTCAAACACAGTCCTAGCAACGAGGAGACAATAAGAATGAGGAGTTACAGAAAGGAAGTAATAAAAACAGGAAACAATTGACATTTTCGTGAAAAACAGTATAAGGCATATATTATAACATAGGTAATCAAAATGAGCAGAATTTTATTCAAAATCGAACAATTTATATATCTGATAATATGTTAATAATAAAATTTTATAATAAATTCAGAAAGTTTAAAAAAGTTTTTACCTAAGCAAAAATTAAATCTAACTATTATTCCAAGTATGTATGAAAGTTTACATAAAGATACTTTAAAAATCAAATAATTTATTAATAATGAAATATTCGTCAATTTTAATGAATTCTGAAAGCTTGAGAAAATTTTTATTCCCAAAATTATTATTCAAATCATTTTTTTTTTAATTTTATTCGACAAATTTTTAAATAATTTTTATTAAACGTAGAAGTTGCTTTTAGCATTTAAAAATTAGAAATAAATTTAATTTTATTTTTTCTCTATGAAATATTTCTAAAAATTTATATAATATTGTTACTAAATTTTCCAAAATTTCCTCTTCAACGTATCAATTTTCAACAGTGCAGTTCATTCGGATAATTAACATCGCAATGAATAAATATAATTCTCTGGTATGTACATATAAAATGCTCATACACAATTTTCACTATAAATAGCACATATAATATTCGTATTATTATATGTATATTCTATGTACATTAATTAAAATATGATAAAGAGATTGCAGATCCATAAATATTATCTTATTATCAACTAACGAACTGTTTGAAAAAAATAGCATTGTGAACGAACTCGGTGAGTATAATCAGTCACGAAAGAGAAACAGTTCATTACCGAACATCTGTTCGCCGAGTTGAAGGACGTTCAACTGTTTCCCAAAGAAAAGTGAATATAGTATCTTCGTCGAGAATCTTTCAATAAATCACTATTTAAATATTTAAATATCAATTTAACTCTATTTAATTCACAATATAGTGAAAAAAGTAAGACTTATTTTATCCTCCTATCTACATTACTATGCGAACATATGGTTGTTCATTCTTTGTCATTGAAATTCAGTTGTCTTTGTACACTTTAAAGAAACTAATTCTTAAATTTAATTTTTAATCTAATAATTAAAGTATCATGTATTGCTGAGCTGCATGAGATGTATGAAAATTAATATATATTTAAGGAATTTAAAATATTTGAAATATTTAAATTTATATTTATAAAATATTATATTTGGAATTTAATTTTTAATGTTTAATTTTTACATTTTAATTAATCTTGAAATATACAAATTTGTATGATTTTTACGTTTTTAAAAGTGTATATATACAGTTATGAATATTCAGTGTATATATTACTATGTATATGGTATAAAAATTATAATTATAGAAGTTATAAATAGATATCCTGAATTGTTTTTGAAATTGGAGCAACTGGAGTGTGCATGAGCTGCATTGCAGATTTTTCACGATATTCGTAAGAATAATTCGTTGTTACACAATATTTATAATTTTTTTTTCATTTGTATATGTATAATTGAACGAGTATTTTAATTTATAAATGTTTCCTCATATATAATTGCATGCATTTATATAAATTTTTTATTATTTTTATAAATTAATTATAAATGTAAAAAAGCAAAAAATTAATTCAACAACCGATATTATTTATTATGTAATTATTGAGGATATATAAGAAAAATAAATAAAGAGCAATAAAATATTAAATACATATATATATATCATCAATGGTAGGTTAATTATTAATCACATCTTCTCACTTTTATTTGTCAAGACACAATGTACTGTTAAAAGTTTATCCTCCTTTCTGTTCTTTGTTAAAAATAACAAATTTCAATTATCCTACCAATGATTTGATAAAACCATAACGAAATCCAATAAATTCGAAGCTGATACATTTTGTCAACATCAAGCTAAAAAATAGACATAAAATGCACATATATATTATACTCACCCAAAACATAACGTTAAATCCAAAGATCACATATTTGAGACAGCAGCTCACTTCACTGGTATCCCTTCTATACTTCCGCACAGCAGGCATGGTTAAGACACATTTATCTAACGCTTTTCGCGAATTCCACGCATACGTGCACACAACACACCCGCAAAAATGCAGACCACTATATACACAACACAAAAGAGCACCGGTGCCCTACAGACAGAGCGAATCACAAATACAATGACATCGCCGAAAATGCAATTATCATCTTTTTTTTCTTTCTTAATTATCTCGAACAACTCTAATATGTCGTTTCTCTCTCTTCAACTTTTATCTTATGATTTATTCACGTATTCTTTTTTTCGATTTTATCCTTTCGTTCGAGCCCAGTTGATCAGCTGATCACAATAACGTACCGTTTCGCAATCACGACTACCGCCATTGTCACGTCACGGTACGTACTACCCGTAGCTGGATCAACGAGACTGTGAGCGGGTCAGACTTTCCACTCGCTATCCGATTCTCCCCACCAACTAAATCTCACTCGTTTGTCCCTCCAACGCTAGATGTTCCACCCTTTAATGCCCTCTACCATGTCCTCTCTCACATCATAGCTCTGCCTCTCTCTTACTTCCCCTATTTCTTTCTTTATTTTTCTCGATCGATCTTTCTCTCGATCATCTGACTTGCTTCGCTCTTCGATGCGATTTTCTTTCTCTTTTCACAACTTTTCTTTCTTTTCGAGATATTGGAATAAAGTATTATTCTGTGCATTTTTTCATTTCATTACCATCATTGTATCGCATGCGATGTTATCAATTCAGGATGGAATGAGATAGCAGCGCTATTAAAATGAGAAGGATTATAATTAAATTAAAAATTAAATATAGATAAGATACGCAAATGAAATACATAATTGATTTAATATTCATCATATTTTTTGTTTTATGTTTCGAGAATCTTAACATTTTGTCAATGTCATTCTCAACATTACCGATTCGGATTGGAACAAGATTGGGATGGTAGTTGGTTGGAATTGAAATTAAGTTTCAATATAAAATTAAATAAGAAAAAATTCCTCTATAAGAATCTTCGATAGAATATTTCAAAAGTTTTTCTTATCTCCTTTATCACTGGGACTAGACTTTCGTTTGTTTAAATTCTATTATTTTTTTGCGTTAAAAAATTCGTGAATATTATATTTTAGGAGGTAAATTATAAAATCTGGAATTTATTATCTATATTTTTTATATTAAAGATATAAATACATTATATTTTTGAAAGAAAAATAATGAAAATGTATTTAATTTGACACTTCATATTTCATTTATAGTTACCCGCCAAAAGAAAGTATAAACAAAGAGAGTAAATATTAGGAGAAGGACAGAGATAGGGTAAAATTATGGAAATCAGCGCCATCTTCAGAGTGCCGTAAATGAAACTCAATGAACAAAGACAGAAAATAATAGGAAAAGGATAAAGATAGAATAAAAATTGATCATTAGCGCCATCTCTTGAATATCAAAGACATTTTTTAAACATAAGATAAGGTAGAATCAAAATTGAATATCAGCGCCATCTCTCAAGTTTCAAAAACATCTTATTTGAGAT